TTTGAGAAGAGGGAAAGTGTGCAGGTCAGTCCTTTGGTCCACCTTTGGTCCTTCAGGATGGCACATGCCAACAATGCAACTGGGTGCCAGTATGGGACAGATGCTCGCTGAGGGGAAAACCAAGGCAAGGCTGAATGGCCATATCCAGGCATCTTTAAACACCATCCAGATGTTCAGATGGAGGTACAGCCTCTCCCTCTACATTGTGCTGGAAAGGTCCTGCAAGCCTGACATCTCTTACTGAGTTTGTATTCTCACCTGTTTTAATCCCTGGCTGCTTGAACTTCTTGGATCACAGAGGGATGTACCTTTCAGGCCTTTGGAGATGCACAGCTACATGTGGCAGTGGACTCAGTGAAGCTCTGTTGCCTTGTCAAGCAGAGCAGAAGTGGAGGAGCTGGCCAGGCTCAGCACTGTGTAATGTGAGCTCAAAGGTATTTCGCTCACAGCATGGTTCAGCAGGTTAATTAGGTTGTTAAAAGCTGTTTTGACTTTCTGGCTTCATTATTAAACGTGAATGCCCCCAAAGCAGTGGGTCTGTTCTTAAAGCCTTCAAGCTGACTGACTGGCTGTGAGGAGGTGAGCTTTGGCAGATGGATTTATTTTCATTAAGCATTTCCTGGTTGCGAGATCTTACTTTTTTCTGAATGCTTGCAGCACAGCAAGACAGCAAGGATGTTTATCTTTAAGTCGTGGTTTAGATGAGTAGTAACACATGTGATATGAAGGATATACCATCATAAATATGTACATACAACTGTTGTGTACAGACTGTAGCACACCAGCTGTTTGGTTTTCCTTGGAATCCTTTGGGCTCTCCTTGGAACCTTGGTTTATGTGCTGTGTTGAGGCTTCTTGTGGTTTCTTCTTCCTCCTTGTCAGTTCAGAGGGCAGCGTGGCCAGTCCCTGCATTCAGCCTTGAGGAGCTACAGCAGATTGAGCATCACGGCGCTGTACAGAGAAGGCAGAGCAGAGTTCTGCTTTGTGGTTTGAAATTCACTGCTGTCACTGCTTAGCAATTGAGCTTCCAGCAGCAGTGGATATTTCATCCACCCACATTTAGGGAATGCAGCTAATAATTATGATCAGGCAAAAGTTGGTTTTTCCTTGAAGCTGCTGCAACAACAAAAAACATTTCCAGAGTGTTATTTGATGAGGTGGAGGTCAGTTCTCTTCATGCTGCTTTGAATTAACATCCATCCTGCCTATTTCTCTCCTTTTTGTTCTTGGTAGTACCCAAAAGTGTACTTTCACAGCTCTTTGGCAGGATGGAGAGCACGCTCCAGTTTCGTGCTGCCCTTCAGCAGTTCTGGGCTAACAGTTCCATCTCACTGTGCAGATACAGTTCCTGAGTTTGCTTTCCAAAGCGTTGTGGAATGGGTTAATAAAACAGCATTGTTCATTTAAAATCTCCTGTGAAGTATAGATCTTGGTGGGCAGAATTAAGTGCTTTGGGAAGAATTTTCCTTCACGAAACGAATCTGGGATCCCTCCCTTCAGAGAAATGCCTTCGATGGAAGAACCAAGACCTGAAGATAATTCAGTTACATTCTGAGGGGGAGAGAGGTTACCAAACGTAGCTGAAATGAAAACAACTCTGGAGTGTATGGCACTGGTGCAAACAGAGCAATTTGCTCAGGTTTTACCTGTAGGAACGTTAACCCAGATGTGGGCAGGTATGTGACAGTGCCATTCCTGCAAAGCCTATGTGGAATTAAACAAGAATAAACTGAATAAACTGTAAATGATGTTTTAAACCAAAGCAATCTGGGAATCGTGCAGATTTTGTTTAAAGTCTCATGAAGTAACTTATGCCCTGATGTGCGTGTTCCAAAAATCGGAACTGCTTTGTAGCTCTGACTTCTGTAGATTATACAACTTCATTTTTCTACTCAGAAATCTTCAGATCGAGACATTACACATCTGTAATCACGTATAAATTTAGAAGCTGCCTTCTTATGAAGAAAGGTTTTGTTTAATGCTACTTTCTTCTTACTTGCACGTTCCCATTTTGCCTTATAAACAACCTTGTTCGCGGAGCGCTCGTGATGCGCAGATGTTCATTTTATTGCTTTTAGTTTGTCTGGAAACGCAGTGGAAATCTCTTCATTACCCTGTTTCTGTTCTTCAGGAAGACTGGCTATTGCGTGCGTTTCGTTAGGAAGCAGCAGCAATAATTGGACACCTCGTGGGCTGTGGGGGGACGGAGCGGAGCTTCCAGACTGCCTGCTGTGCCTCCTGAGTGCGCAGGGCTTTGCGCGCAGCGGCTGCGTGGCAGTCTGGTCTTATAATTAATTGCGTTTTTATAATTAATTGTGACTTTCAGTACCACAAATTAACTGTATTTCACACAACCGCAGCACAATTTGATGGGAGAAGCCCTGGACTAAACTTTTATTTTAGAATACACCCATGAGGGAAGAGCTTTTCCTCACTGTGTTACTCACGCTGCTGTTGCAGTTCCTGCGTTTGGAGAACAAAAGCATAAAGCTTCTGCCTCCAAAGGGTAACGTGAGTCATGGGAGGTTTGCAAGGATGCTGTGGATTTATGCTGTAAGCGTGCTTGGGTGTTATTTTCCACTGTAACAGTTTCTTCATTGTTTCCCTTCCCATTTTCCTTGCATAGCCACCTGGTATGGTTACATATCTTCTGTTCGGGCTTGTGTGGTTACAGTAAGTTGTTGTAAAACTTGCCTTTATGTTTCCTTGCATCCTTCCCCACATTCAGTAATGCTGTGGGTTCGTTTGCACGTGGCAGAAGACCTTGAGAAGCACAGTTCTTGGGACCACAGTGACTTGCAGAAACATATGGGCAAGGTGGGAATGAGCTTACCCGCAGGCAACATGCAGCCACAGGTTGTGAGCAGGGAGGTCTCTCATGAGGATGAGGGCAGGGAAGCTCGAGGTGGGACATTCCTCTGGTTTGAAAGTATGGATCTGCACCAGAGCCCCTACAAAGCGTGGTGCATATAGCCTGTTTTGATGACATCTCAAACGAAGAGAGTGGCACTAGATTTTAATGTTTATCAAGGGAGGAGCATCAAACAGTTGGCACTTCACTTTATTCGTTGAATTCCAATTAACAAGAAATGTGGTGAAAAGAATCATTTGGATGTTAGGATATTTGAACAGAGGGCTTTGGAGACTCTTGCAGACCGCATGAAGGCTGAGTCCAGTGTGATCTTTAGTTGTGTGAAGCAGGGAATGAGGAGATACAGTGACAGCATTGGTACGGGCATCGGGTGTATAAGGTGTGCATGGATGTGTACAGATTAAAACCAACTGTGAAGAGTTGGAGGAAGGCTCATTTTGAATGACTGACCATAAAGCTAAGTGTAGATTTTCTGCATGGGAAGAGGTAAGAATTCTTGCCCTAGGAGTTACTAGGAAGGTATGAGAGCAAAGCATGGTGTTGATATATAAATTAATGGTGCGCTCTCCTTTCATCCTGGGTGTTGCATGCATTTCCAGTCCCAAAAATACGAAATGGAGAAGGCAGTTCATGTCCAATGGAAAGCCTGGCTCTCAGCAGCAGCCCTCGGAGCAGGGAGGTGTGAGCAGACCCGACCAATCCTGGAGATTTCCAGGAGCTCCAACATTTTGTGGCTGTAGCCACAGCTGCCAGAACGCTGCAGCTCTCACTGGGTGGAATTTCTCTTGAAATCCTGTATCCTGTAACCACTTAATACTGTGCTTTGCATATACAGACCACCCATGGCCTGGTCTTAAGCGTGTGAGGTTTGAAGGCTGACATGATGGGATGTAGGTAATTTCTTGCCTTGATTGTGTACAAAAACCTCTTGAACACGAAGCTCAGAAGCATCCTTATGCAAGCGTTGAGTAATTAGTTTTCTTGCTTAACGCTAACCTTCTATTAACTTCATAGAGATGTTTTCTGCAGCAAATACTTTAGTCTCAGCCTAGAATATCTGCTGGACTTCATTGTAAAGTGATCAGGACTTGGGGAGGAATTCTGTGCACGGAAATTGTTTGCAGAGCAAAATTTCATGTTGTACCTTACAAAGTTCAGAGGACAAAGAAATCAGTGTGCTGTCATGTTTTTAAATGGAGTCTGAAGGGATAGATCAGGGAAGCAGGCAATATAAAACAAGGGAGAGGGCTCACAAGTATGGAATATCAAAACTGTCCCGTGAAACCGATATCAGTGCATCACACAGGCTTGCAATGTGGAAATGGTTTTAAGTTGAAGGAGGGAAGATTCGTTGGATGTTGGGGGGAAGTTCTTTACAGAGAGAGTGGTGAGGTGCTGGAACAGCTGCCCAGAGAGACTGTGGATGCCCCGTCCATCCCTGGAGGTGTTCAAGGCCAGGTTGGATGGGGCCCTGGGCAGCCTGGTCTGGTATGAAATGGGGAGGTTGGTGGCCCTGCGTGTGGCAGGGGGTTGGAGATTCATGATCCTTGAGGTCCCTTCCAACCTGGGTCGTTCTGTGATTCTATGTGTTGGTAAAAGAGGATGAAAATACTTGAGCAGATATGCTGTATAAGAGAACAGAATTGTTGGACCCATCAGAAGCCTTGTGGGGGTTTGAAGAGAAGCTCACAGTGGTACAGCAGGTATTTACACAGTGCATATGGCATGGCCAACCTCCAGACCAGGCTGCCCAGAGCCACATCCAGCCTGGCCTTGAATGCCTTCAGGAATGGGCATCCACAGTCTCCTTGGGCAACCTGTTCCAATGTGTCGCCACCCTCTAGGAAATGTATCTCTAGGAAATCTGAAAATTGTGTCTTAGAACAGCATAGTGACCTGTGATTCTGCTGAGATTTAGATTGCTTAGTAGTATGCTAGTGCCATCATCAAAGTTTGACAAAGTATGTGCTGAAATAGAGGGAAGGTCTCAGTATGATGGCAAACTTCTTAAGTTTCTGTTAAGGTTGAAGAACTTCTAAGCTGACAACCATGTATGGGAGTTCAGCTGTTGTACATCTGGAAAAATAGGTCTGTATTATATGAATTTTTCTGTGTTTTTTTATCCTAGTGTCCCAATGTAATATCAGCTTGAAGAAGCAGAGGAGTCGAAGTATTTTTAGCACCTTATTCTGCTGCTTTCGTGACTACAATGTCGAACCACCATCTACCAACAGCACCAGTGCTCTTCCTCCTTTGGTGGAGGAGAATGGAGGACTTCAGAAGGTCAGACTCTTCTCTTATTCTACTTTCCAAATGTCTTTGGTAACTGAGGTTGAACACAGCACTTCTAAATGTTTGTCTCAGCAGGTTTGCCTCATGGGTAATGTGTTATATCAGCTGATGGAGAATTTCTAGTGGTATCCATTCAGTTTAAAACTAACTTTTCTCTGAATTTATGATATGAAAATAACATTTAAGACCCATTGTAAAAATGTAGGCTTCCCATAACACTCCAGATGCCGTGTTGTTTCCTAGTTTTAGTTCTCTTTTTCAAATAAGGAAAGATTGAAGTATTTCACATTAAAGCGTAGTGAAGCTGCTTTGAATGTCACTTGTAAGTCTTTCCAGTGACATAAAAACAGCCCAATAAGGGAGAGAAGTGTAATCCTTTTGACTTTATTTTAACCTCTCCACCTGTGTTTAATTCACACAGAGGCCAGAAGTATCAGCTTTTGCTCTTCTGGCTATAGAAGAACCCTGTATTTATAGGGTTGTTTACCTAATCAGTCAATTTATTTTAAACTTTCAGCACTTTAAAGCATTGTGTGCTAAGAGCAGCAGGTTACTTACTTTGAGGTGTAGTGATTAAACTGCTTTGACACGCACATGAAATCGTGTCAAATAAGTTTCCTGTGTTGTCTTTCAACCTGATGATACCCAGTGGATTTGCATTATATTACTGAAGGATTTTAGTTCAGTGTGAACATAGGAATGCCATCTTTCTCATAATCTCCAAATTCCACTTATGCTATGCTTGAAACCAAAAAATCTTTCCCCTTCCATTTTTAAGAGAATGCAGGAATGGATGTATCTCTGGGAAGTAATCACAGCAATACATTTCTAACTTTTCACTTCAGCTCTGCCAACCAGCTCTATATATTTGATGCTGCTCATTTCCTGCCTGCTTTGCCCACTCCTCTGGATTTGGGTTATTGTTTACTTTGATCTGATATTTTTTTTTCTTAATGTGGAGGAAGAGAGGAAAGGAAAGCAAATCATGTGACAGAGACCAAGGATATGCTTTAGGGGGGCAGTGTTGCATTGCCTCCTATGGTACTGACCTAAAACCAGGCCAGGACCAAGGTGTGAGGGCACTGAAAAATTCCTCTGCCAAGAGAAGGAATTGTACATTTATTTTAATACTATTTTTTTTTCCCTTAGCTAAGCTGCATTTCAGCTGAAGTGAGGGAGATCTAGCTTGGATATGCTAAAGGAGAGCTGAGAATAGCATGTAGCATGTACATACGTGTGCACCTTAAGAAGAAAGTAAATGGGAAACTAGAGAAATTTCCTTTTCTGCTGTGTTGATGGGCAGATAGGAGGCATAGGTAAGGGTGACAGCAAAACTGCAAGTAAGAGAAGAATAAGATAAATGTTTTAAAGAAATGCATGACAAACTTGAGCTGAAAAGCTCTGCAATCAAAACATTCAGAGTACAAAATGTTAAACACGTAATGACTTTCTAAATAGTATCTTAGCCTTGAGCAAGTGATTGCATGTGTGTTTGCACAGGTTTCCATCCTCGTGCTGCACTGCCTCAGCGGTTGTGCAATTCTGTGCGAGTCCAAATGCACAGAATGCACAGAATTATCAGACTGCGAGGCAGTTGGGTGGAAACATCCAATGAATGCCTTAAAAATAATAAATTATTTGAGTTCATTTTACTCAAACACGGTGAATCATATTCAGACATGTGCAGTTCTTTGTAGAAAGGAAATGAGCGTTGCTACGTTTTTGGGTCATTCTCACTGAGTGCAAATAGACCTGTAGCAATTCTATTCTAAATGCAAGACTGCAGTCTAATAAGCTCTGTATGCTTTTCTGTGTCACTTTTATATTCAGTGCTAACGTGGTTAGTGTAAGCATGAAATTCTTTCCAAGACAGAAAAACAGCATGGAAGATTTGGATATATTTGAATGTTCTCGCTCTGTCAGGCCTGTGCTTTCTCCCAGATGAGCTTTATTCTAAAGCCGTGCAGGCAGGGTGGGTTTGATCGAGTCACAAGGAGCAGCTTTGGGGATTTAGAGGTGATTTGTAAACTGGAGGAAAGTACATGCATCAGTGTAATTGAGTTTCACTAAATTAGTGAAAATAAACATCCAGAAAGGGGCAAAACAATCAATTTCGGAAGGGGAGCTTCACAATATGCTGCTTAAACTCTTCTGCTGTTTACTTAAAGCTCTTGTTGTACTAATCTGCCTGCCTAGTTAGAATAGTTGAAATTCTGTTGAGCAGCTGTTCAGATGTCTCTTCATTACCTCTGCTATTAATTATTGATCGCCTCCCAGGTGACCTCTGCCCATGGTGCAGAGCTCCGTGTATCCTTCAGAAATGGAAAGAGGAAATTGCACAACAATGTTAAATAGTTACTATTAGAAACTGGAGTATAAAATTGCTTGGATGTCCTTTCCTTCTGCCTTCATTGTTCAATGGAACTGTTGTATGGAAACCAGCGGTAAAAACTGGAGGGGAAGATTAAAAGAAGTGAGAAAGCTTCAGCTGCTTTCATAGAAATTCAGTGTTCTACATTGCTTCTGGCATAGTCATGAATTGGTGTGACAAGCTTCCTTCCTTCTAATTAGGAGTCTCAAGTCTTTCCATGTTAACCTGTTGTAAAGCAAGGAAAGCAGCAAAAGGTATTTTATAAAGCAGTTGAGAACACAGTTCAGAGATTTTGCTCAGAGGTATCGTGCTGACTTTTCTTTCAGTTATTTTCTTTTTTTTGCTGTGTTAGGGGGAAAAAAAATACTTCTAATAGTGGTTTACCAAACGGTGTGAGTTGATTCTGCTTGGCAAGTTAAATGTCACGTCACTTCTTTGTAGGATTGGAAGCAATGCCAAACTGAGCGTGGTTTTGAATAAGGGAGTCGTACAGCACTGATTTTTACTCCATTGGAAAATATATTAAAAAAAAAAAAAGCCCAAAAACTTCTTGAAGTATTGAGTTCATTTTTAAAACTTTTACTCACAAAGCAGCTGTTTGTCCAAGTGTGATGCTAATACTGGTAATGAATGAATGGTCCACTCTCTAATGTTTCAGTGCAACATTTCTCTGTAGTAACTTGTATTTACTGAAACTATTCTGCATAATATTTTTTTTTTCTTCGAATGCAGAAGCTCTTTAATGCACCACAAAGGTCTGTTCTGAGACACAACATCTGTTACAGTGGGTATATCAGCCTGCCTGCAGCTCAGATGCAGAGTCAGATGTGTCATTGTGAGCACACAATGTTCAGCCTTCTGAAATCCTGGCTCATTTTTTCCTGCCTTCTCAGCAGCAGGAAGTTTGACAAGCCAGTTTTCTGGGGCAACAGCATTGAGAGAGAAGGGAGTGTTTGTTCAGAACAAACTCAGATCTCAACTTCTGTTCTTCAGTTAGCGGTTTGACCCAATAGGTGTCATTTCTGAGCTATTGTGTTTTATTCTGGGCAAGTTTGCTACGTGCATTTTAAAACATTTGGAGATGCTGGTGCCATCTGCGAACTTCAAGGAGAGAGCCAGGTTGGAAAAAAAGGGAGGAAAAGGCAGCTGCAAATTCATTCTCTTCTCCCTTGCCTTTCCAGTCTTGGTAGGTGATGGGGCTCCAACGTCTCTCAGCACTTCACTTCACTTACAACCCAGTTTCTCTGCAGTAATTTCTGCTTCTGTTTCACAGTTGTATATGATTGGGCACACAGATTGTGTTCAGCGAGGTGAGGCATGAATGAAGGAAAAGTTCTTTATATTTGGATCAGGAGAATGTCTTGATCCACACTCAACGAGGAAGAAGACAAAATTAGATGAAAGTTCATTCTGGGGACAGCAGCTGCCCCCGCTGCTTTCTGTGTTACAAGAATGAAGCCAGAAAGGTCAAGTCCTTGAATTTCCACCTCACCCATCCCAAGCACTACATAAGTAAGTCTTTCCCCCGCTGCTTTCTAATGCAGGATCCTGCCGTCTCCAAGGTCATGCTAGAAAACTTGTTTTGATGACCTGTTGTAACATCTTCAACATTCTTAAGGAGTCTGCTCCAGGGATGTTTTTTAAAATACACTTGGAAGTGCAGACAAAAGGAAAGGATCTTCTCTTCCATGTGAATGTGCTTCACTGGAATGAGGAAAACAGACCTGGTAGGAAATGTGTTCTTGAGATCTGAAGGAGTATCTCCTTCATCCAGCAGACACAGATGAGCAACTCTTTTTCCTGCTTAACCTTCACTGATCACAGCAAGAAGTTCCTAGTGTCTGATTCCATTGGCCACCATCAGCATGTAGTGGGCAGATGAATTTAGAAAATAAACCTTTATTGAGGTGCTTGGTTTCTCTTTACCAGACTTTTTATCTAACCTTCTCCTTTGCTTCCCCAATAGTCTTGTGCATCAAGAGACAGATCAGTGAAAGAGTCAGATAGTAATACATTACTGTTAACCTATCAGCAGTCCAGTATAAATTTCTGTTTAAGAAATCGATATGATAAATGTGTTCTTTTGATCAACTTCTCTGAATGGGTTATTCTTTAAAACAAATGGCTCTGTATCTTTGTGCACAGGCTGCTTTCAAACAAGCAGAATACTGTGGCTTGTCACTTGATGGCCATTGATGTTAACATAGACAGCATTAACTTACAGATGCAGTACTGAAAATGCTTCATCTCCAACCAGAACTACACAGATCAGGGGGAAGAGGAGATTTATCACTGTATGTGTTGTGTGAAGAAAAAGCCAGATGGCAGTGGCTGAGCAAATCAGTTTCTGTATATCTCAGTGATACAGTGGGGAAGTTCTGGCACTCTGAGATCATCTTTGTCCTGTTGCTAGCATCAGGGGCTCATAGAAAGACTTCAACAAATGCAATTATCTGTCATTACTTCAAATGATAGTGTTATGTCCTACTTCCTTTCCTGTTTCAGGAAAGAAAGCAGGACACTTCTAAAAGTTTCTTGTAGCAGGATTGTTTTCAGAAAGCATTTGCACGTTCATGGCCACTTACACTTCAACAGCAGACTCCCATATATATCTTTCTTTGTTTTTCCAAGTGCTGTCATAACCATTTTGGGTTTTGGATATGTACTTTTAGGATTCCACCTAGGAATTCACTTCTTTTACTTCATGATTTAATCAATTCTGCGAGAAAAATAGAAGCATGATGGAAGATGGAAGAGCTTTATCAACTTCATTCTAGATTCTCATGAAAGTCAACCTTACAGTAATACCATGGGGCACAGCTCTTGTTTCAAGAAATTGCCAGAGCAACAAGCAAGTTGCACAGCAGTGATTGCCTCTTGAAGTTTGTGGGAAAGCCTGAAAACTCAGATGTTTTTGTGCCCACCATTAAGATAACCTTTTACTGTGATGGTAGCAATGTCTAATGCTGTTCTCATCCGTTGATGGAAGAGAAGCTCCAGTTGTGTTTCATTCTACCGCAGGATGGAACGAGGGAAGAAAAAACCAACACACAGTTTGTAGTCAGTGCTCTGCCTGCATAACTCTGTCCTTGAGAGTGGTCTGATCCCAGGCCAACTAATCTGAGCAGCACCTACTCGGATTCACTCTTTTCTCAAATGGCACACGGACTTCAGATGATGCTCCAGCAAGCTCTGAAAGGAAGCATCTGTTGTCTTAGTATTTCAGACCCGACATGAGAACAAAACATGAAGTTGGCTAAGGTCTTGACTGTCATCTTCCACACTGAAAGAAGGCTGTGGGAAGTATTGATACTTCTGCCACTTTCTGGCTGAAGGAAGTGAGATTCTTTGGCTTATCATCCATCCGTCTATCTTGGTTATTTTGCTGTCATTTAATTAATGCTGTCTTTTCTGAGGCAGCCATCTCTAGCAAAGTTAACTTGAAAGACTTCTGTTGTGCTACTGAGATCTGGCTGAGCCTCTTGTTGCTGCAGTGAAAATGGACAAATATACCCACTGGTAGACCTTAAAGCTGAAAAAGTTACAGTAAATACAGGTGCTTTCTTATTATCATCTCTTTAATTACAGCATGGGTTGTACCAGTCCAGTCTCCTAAAAATCATAAATACCAATGTACTAACCAACCATTACAGCAACTACAATGCAAGATCCTGTTTTTATTTTTTTTTTACCCTGATTTCTTGAATAGTTTGAACTTTGGTTTAAAATGTTTGAGTGCTACATTTACTGCTTCAGACCTTTGTTCTACCCTTTAAAAGCCATTACCCTTACAGTGATTTTTTTTCTTTTTCCCCAGGGTGACCAGATGCAGGTCATGCCTATACCAAGTGTATGTATTTTTATCCCTTTTTCTTTTAATAATTTTCATAACCTTTGCTTTGAGTCATCTTATGTTGCAGTCTAACAGGTCTGTTTTGTGTTGCATGTTAACAGAAGGATTTTGTGTTCTGTCTGCTATGTTGTATACTCAGAGATGAACTGAACCACACGTGTACACAGACTAAAAGAAGGGTTTGGGTTTTATATGGCTTTCAGCTTGCATCTCAGCTAAACTTGTTTCTGGATTTCTATCCTTTTGAAAACACATGAAGTAGTCTGAGAGTAGAGGTCGCTTACTTCAACAGTGACAAAAAGTGGCTCTCTGTCACTAATTGGAGCACAGTTACAAAAACCTTTCCCTTATTTCTCCATGTGTGCCAAAACATGGGAACAACGTGCTTTGTGTTGAAGCAAGCCATTTTAGGGAAGCAGAGTTCTGTGCTTGTAGCTGCGTTACTCTGCTTGTTGGAGATGATGCTCTCATTATCAGCTCTTGCTTTATGGCCCTTAGTATTCCTGCTTATCTTCCCTAGATTAAATGTGGAATGCTATTAGGCATTTGAATTATTTTTCAAACCTAAATAAAAGAAAAAAGTCCTTCAAACTCAAGCTTCTAATTTAATGAGATGTGACCATTTTTGGTCAAAAAAGCTGTTCTTTTTCGACTTGTTTTTAAGAAGACTTAGGCTTTTCAAAAGCTGGACGTACTTCTTTGAGCTCCTCTGCTGTTTATAAGGCTTTATTATTACAGGGCTTTCCAGGAAGTAGCACACCAGTGCTGGTTTGTAGAGCTGTTGACACAGTGCTCCTTCTGAAGCTCCTTGGTAGTCCTAAAGAGCTGAGTATTCCCCAACGTATTATTTTTTATTTTTCCCCTTTTCCTTTCTTCTCATGTAGCCCAACATTACAAGGGCTCCTGTAAGAACCCTCAGTGCTGTGGGTCAGGAGATTGGGAAAACTGCAGCATGCTTCCCTCCTTGTCAGGCTTTGTAAAAGCTGTTAAAAACCACTCTTTATTCCTCACTTCCTATTTCTAATATGAGATTATTTTTAAAGCCAGGTAGGACAGGACGGAGCCCTGGGCAGCCTGATGTAGTGGTTGGTAACACTGCCCATAGTTGGTGGGTTGGAGCTCAGTGATCTTTAAGTCCTTTCTAACGTAAACTGTTCTGTGATTCCATCTTACATGGCTGATGCCTGTGTGTGTATATGTTATATGTACACACATAATTTCTGTATGTGCAAGCTGGAAATAAAAAGCTTTAGATCTATGAAAATGCCAATTGCTAAAGTCCTCTTCCTTTCCATGCTCTCCGTGTGCTGCTCAGTCATGGTTGCTGTTGTCCTGGCAGCCATTTGAATGTACAACTTGTTCTGGCTGTGCTCTGAACTACAATTAAGTGTTACCTAAGAGTGGGTGTCAGTGGTAATGAAAGAAGATCTCAAGAAGAAAGTTTTTAAAATACAGATGAGTACAGCCTTGTCAGGATGCAGTCATGGAATTAGAAGCTGTGCTAGAGCTCCATCTTGGTGATGGCAAAGCAGTGCTTTGCTAGGCATGGGGAGCGGTAGGAAAATAAGGGATTCATGAGGTTTCTGTTTTCTTTCTTCTGTTGCTCAGGGCCTGTTTAGCCGAGAGAAGACAAGACACAGGGGGGATCTTGTGCCTGTAAAGATCTAAAGGAGAGGAGACAAGTGGCTGGGGTTGGGCTCTTTTTGGTGATGCCTAGTGACAGGACAAGGGCCAATGGGCACAAACTGGAACGCAGGAAAATCCATATGAACATGAGGAGGAGGTTTTTCGCATTGAGAGTGACAGTGCCCTGGATCAGGCTGCCCAGAGAGGTTATGGATTCTCCTCTGGAAAGATTCAAAACCCACCTGACTGCTTTCCTGTGCAACCTGCTTTAGGGAACTTCCGTAGCAGGGAATTGGACTACATGATCTCCAGAGGTCCCTTCCAACCCCTGCCATTCTATGATTGTAGTTCAAGTGCAGAACTGTATTCCTAGCACTTTAAGGCAGCAGAATGAACTTACCTTCTCTGTTATGGCATGTGATTCTCAGGGTGCAGGTCACCATGTGCAGTCATTCCTCTTCTCCTGTGCCATCTGATGCCCCTTCTGCAGCAGGACCTGCCCGCTGCCAAGGGAGCAGTGCCCGCAGGTGGCTGTATGACATTTATGGCCTTACATCAGGCTGTTTCTTCCTGTCACTCCAGGCCAGCACGCAGCTCTGTGTCACCTTCTAAATACAGACCCAAGTGTGCTGTGTATAGAATCCTGGAATAGCAGCATGGTTTGGGTAGGAAGAGATCTTAAAGCTCATCCAGTTTCAGCCCTTGCCGTGGGCTAACTGCCTCCCACCAGTTCAGGCTGCACAGGACCCTATCCAGCCTGTCCCTGAGCACCTCCGGGGATGGAGCACCCACAGCACTCTGGGCAGCAGTGCCAGTGCCTCACTGGCCTCCAAGTAGAGTTGTTTCCTAACATCCAACCTGGATCTCCACTCTCGTAGTTTAAAGTCATTTCCCCTTGTCCTATCACTGTTAAACCTCTCTATGAGTAACGTAAGGCCACAGTGAGGTTTCCCCAGAGCTTCTCTTCTCCAGGCTGACCACCCCCAGCTCCCTCAGCCTTCCTGCACAGTAGGGGCACTTCCAGCCCTTTGTGCATCTCCATGATCTCCTCTGGATGTGCTCCCATAGTTCCATCCCTCCTGTGCTGGGGGCCCAGACTTGGGCACAGCACTCCATGTGGGGCCCCTTGAGGGCAGAGCAGAGTGGGACAGTCCCCTCCCTGTCCCTGCTGCTGCCCTCTGTTGACGCAGCCCAGGATGCTGTTGTTTGTACTCATATCTAGGATTTCCTCAACATTAAAAGACCAAAATTAAAGCAGTCCTTTTTGCTGATCTTGCAGGGGCTGTTAGTCCCAAGCGCTGGAGCCCAGAGGTTAGCTCAGAGATGCTCATCACTCTCTAATTAAGACCCATTAAGGCAGAAATTCTCGATGCTCTGCTACGCGAGGACATGGATGAGAAATGGCCTGTTTGAGTTGTATGTATTATAAATACCAGCAGAAAATCTTTTAGACAGAGAGCAAGGTTGGTTGCAATTAAATTGGACGTTTACTTTTTATAGGGCGCATCGCAAACGTAATCACTTCAAGTGTTTGCAGGATTCCTCAGTGGCTCAGAAAAGAACACAGCCCACTCTCTATCATTAAACTTTCATGTTGAAGCTCCAGTCAGAATACAAGGTTTTCTGTAGTTTTATCATGTGTTTAAAGTCAGGCAATCTGCTGGGGTCAGCTGTTTGAGAACTGATTTTGTTTTATGGATGTGTGCACAGCATCAGTGCAGGATATCTTCTGCTGAAATCAATTTTCTGAGTATTAATTGCACTTACCTAAAAAATATTAATTAGGTATGAATTTTCACTTGGCTGTTGATAGGTGCTCATCAGGAAGCATTCAAGTTCAAGTTGCTTTCTTTAGAAAACAAAAACAATATGACTTAGCTTGTTTTAAGATGAACCTTGTTTCTGTTTGTACGTTGTGTTCGGAGCTACTTCCAGATAAAGGTATAAGCTAAAGAGCTGCATAATTGATTTCTTTTCTGGGGGAAGAAGGGGGAAGTACTGGAAAATGATGAATTTTCTGGGGTGAATTGAATACAAACCTGGGAAAAGGCCAATAGCAGCTGACACATGGATGGAATGGGAATCTGGTGAGGTCTGTGGAGAACAGACTTACAGATCTGTTCAATGTAGCTCAGGATCCCTGTGCTTTCCTGGATTTATCTCTGCTTTGTTTGGAAGGAGGTACAATAGAAGTATCAAAATCAGGCCCATAGTAACTTCAGCAGTCATTTTCATTCTTTTGACTGAGAAAACAGGTGGAAGCATAAAGCAATGCTCGTGCACCTGATTAAATACATCAGAAGTATCCTTTAGCATTTTGCCTCTGTTTAAAATCCCTGAACGAAGGAATGGGACTGGAAGGAGCCTTCAGAATCCCTGCAGAAGTGAAAGCTTAGTGCTGGGATATCTGTGTTCCACTTTTATTTTGATAACTTCTTGTTTTGAGCTTTTTCCAGAAGAAAGCTTGTGAGCTGCCTGTGACAACACAGTAGTCTCTCCCATCTCTTGGCAGCTGGGTTTTAATGGGAAGATGTTAGCTTCTGTTGGAACATTCGGTGCCCAACTGCTGGGAGAAGCTGTTAGCTACAGAGTGCAACCAGAACCGAACTGGAGGGAGCCTGAACAGCAGACTAATGCTCTGTGCTTAGGCTAGGCAACGTTTTCAGTACCCAAAGGATTAATTCTGCTTTCTGTGGGAAGTGTGGGCCTGCAGAGAAGAAAGGTTCTGTTTGCTTTATATAACAAATTTTTCGAAAGGTTTGTGTTGAGCAGCTGTTCTGGCTTCAGCCAGGAGCCCTGTTTTCCTGCTCCCCTCCTCTCCTTTCATTAGGCAGTATACAGTTTCCATGGGACTTAAAGAGTTCAGCCGTTCCTTCTCTGCAAGGCCAGTTAGCTGATCAGCCGTGAGACCGGCCTGGAATGCAGGAATCCCAAACACCAACAAGTTTAAAAGCTTTGACTTGTATACAATTTATTTCTCGTTGGCATTGAAGCCCAAGCTGGGACTTTCAGTACTGAGATACTACAGATTGTTTTTCTACTGAATTTCATGGAGGACTGTAGTATCTTGGAGGGGGTTATGTAGTAAATGTGAGTTACTGTTTGGTGCAGTTAAATACCCTTAATAGACTTAAATATTTTTAAAGCCTACTTGTTAAAAAGAATTATCAAAAACAACTGTTCTCTGTAAACTGGGATGAAAATCTGGTAATTACAACTCCTCTTGGTTGCCTCCCCACCAGTGAGGAAATTAAAGTTTGCTGTGGAACAATGCCAGTTCCTGCATAAAAGCTTTTCTACTCTGGAATACGTGGGAATTTTTTTTAGATCAGGAAGTTTCAACAGCAAAACAAATGGATTGATATCCCACATACAAATCCAAGTTTCTAAAGCCCCAAAGATGTCATCTTTGCTGCAGAACCAGCAGATGTTCTGCAGTCTCACAGCTTGCAGTCCCTGCAGCTTCAGAGCAGTTTCCACATCCCTGGTAGATTATCAGGTTGCAGATGTGTTTTCGAAGTTGAAAGCAGCGGAGATGCAGGATTTGAAAGAGGAAGATGTGTTTCTTTTATTCACATGTGCAAACAGGTGCTTCTGAAAACAGGAGCAGATGGAATTCAAAGCCCGAGCACATAGGAAGGCTGACCTGCCAGGGCATTCAGGTTCTATGAGGCAGAGGTGCACATGTCTTCGTAGCCCTTGGTGTACGTGCATCCTTTTTCTGATGGCAGGTGAACTGGATTCCAGATAAAGAGCAAAGATAACTGTGAAATTAGTGTTCACATTTTTCGTGTACGTGTTTCTATATGAAAGAAAGTTTATTTCCATATGTTTTCCATATTAAGTTCACTCAAAAAGTCACGCTGAATAGTAGGAGTCTTAAGAGTAGAAAGATGAATGGAGCTATTTTGTCTTACATATATATATCTATATCTATATATATATATGCTTAAGATATTTTGGGATATCTTTACATTTTTTACTTCTTCAAAGCCAGGCAAGAAGCGTGCATCAGTGGACTCTGAAGGTGTTTGTCTTTATATAGGTGTGATTTTGATAAGCTCTAATTTGCTTTAGATTGTAGGTCTGTATCCTTATTATGAAAACTGTAGGTGGAGTACCTTTTAGATTCTGAATTAGCAGTGAAGAACCTACATTCCATGAAAGTGGCCCTAGTCTTCTGTGCTAGTATGCTGCCAAGCAAAAAGAGCTCAAGCAGTTGTGCAAGCAATGTATATGTAGGACTTTATCACCTAAAAAGAGCATCCAGTAAATTTTGGTCCCATTACATGATTGTGATGCATGCCTACTTTAGAGGCATTAAGCAGCAGTGGTTTCTTCTTAAAGGCCACTGTTAATATGTGCTGAGAGAAAATATATTAAGACTAAGTGGCTTCTAAGCAAGGCAGCTTCTGTGTAACCAACTCGAGAAGCTGTTGTTGATGTTCATCGTAAGGAGCTCAGTCAGTTTCAGTGAGGCCTCCTAAAAATTGCCCAATCACTTTAGCTAAAGACACTTCAATTTACATCCAGGATCTCATTTGTTAGTTACTTCATTTTAAACAAGAAGTAGCTGGGCATCACTGGCCAGCATCTTTCAAGTGGACATGGCATTTGGAATAAATCAGTGATTAGGGGAGAGCAGTTCTTGCTGCTGGGATGTGTGCAGTAGTATCTTACTCACTGCTGTCACTGCTCTGTGCCAACTGGTGACCTCAGATCTCCAAAAGCACCTCCACAAAAGGCAGTTGTATCCAAAAAGTACAAAGAAAGGATGGATGCATCCTTAACAGAACAGCAGCACCCAAACAGAAGAGCTAGAGAGATAGCAGGAGAGTGAAGTGAGTTCTGTATCAACCTGATTTCACCTCCTCTCACGCTTGAGCTTTCCATAAAATTAGTTGTTTTCCTCCATCAAAAAGACCTCTTTAAGCCAGAAATGTTTCAGTTTCAAGAGGAAGAGCTCCATTTCTGTTCTTTTGGAAAATAATCAGTCTACAATAATGTAGCTGTTGCAGGTTGGGATGTTAAACTGGTAGTTGAGCAATTAAAAGACTGTGTGACTGCACTGCTTTAAAAAAAGAAGTCAGTTCTTTCTTTGTGTAATTGGTGCCATTATTGTGAGGGCAGCATATGCTGAATAGCCTGTTTTAAGAGAACTCTCTTTACTCCAGGTTTAATGCCTTGATTCTCAGTGCAATCCATGAGGAAGCTCTCTGTCAGCACCCTTGCAAGTGGTAAAAATGAGAGTGGGGACATGTTCTGGAGGACAAAATTATCTTCCTTCAGGACGAGTTTCTCCACTTTGGTATCTTCATTGGCCAAAAGAATTTGTGTAAATGTCCATCTACATGATGTGGCCAGAAATAGTATTGAAGGAGCAGGATAACAGCAGCGACTGAATCTGAGGCATTAGAAAGAGGGTCACTGGGAGAAGATGTCAGTGCATCAGATGTCCCACTTCTCACTGTTGCTTTTAATTAGTGGTGGTGTTTTGCCATTTTCATTTTGAGCTCTTTGGAGGTCGTTCTAAATGAGTCTTTTCATTTTAGAAAACAGAATAAGCTGTATGGGCATTGCATGAGCCATTGGTTTCCATATGTGTCCTTGCAGCAAGCCCAGACAAACATTCAACTTTGAGTGGTTCTCAGTTAAGTGACTACTGGCACAGTAATGTTGGCAAAAGAGTGTCCATTCTGTAGACGTTTTACATTTTCTTGTTGTCTTCTTTTTTTAGCCACCAGCTAAATACCTCCTGCCAGAACTGACAGCATCAGACTATGGGAAGAAGTGTGTGGTCATTGATTTAGATGAAACTTTAGTGCACAGTTCATTTAAGGTGAGTACATCTGAAAGTGATCTCTTGCACCTCGCCTCTGCCAGTGAATGCTGTGGGAGCTGCTAAGCAGCTTAATGTGTTAACTGGTCTTGCAGGCTCTCCCAGGACACCTGGTAGTTCTTGTTGTTCCTTCAGCAATTATTCCTCCTAATGTAGCTTTGAGTACCATAGACACCACTGGTTTTTGATTCTGAGTCTGAAACAAATCCTTGAAAGGTTGCTGGTTTCATGGCTTTAGCCTGTAACTGTTCCAACCAGGAGCAATGTTGAACAGGTACAGAACTTGTTGCTCTGAAATTTGAGTTCACTTTTGATGTTTAAATGATGCCATATTCTTGGAGAATGGAAATTCAACACAGCTGTATGCTGTGTAGATGGAGTAGATTTGGGGCATCAGCTGTCACTGTGCTCCATTGCTGGAGAATATTGCTTCATGTGTAGTGGGAAAGCAAACAGCAATCTGCTGTCCTGATCTCAGAAGTGTTTTCAAGTATTCAGCTCTCACAGCAGGAGAGCAAATAGCATTTAGCTGTTGCTGATGAGTCAGTCATTTTGTGAAGCAACTTCTGTAACCCTTCAGAATTCAGCATGTGGTGGAAGTAGTGGTATTTTTCTATTGTTTAAATAGGTCCAAAGTTAGAATCAGAGAACTCAGTAATGCAAATAACCTAAATTGACTCAAAGAACTGTAATATTTCTGATCAGCAAATGTCAGCCATCAGTAAGACTGTAGGTTTATACTTCAGTACTGGAGAATTTTTAAGACTCCTTACTAATAGCAGTGTCAAGTTAGCACTATCTTTGCAGTTGTTCAGTTTTGGTTACACTCCAGTTTTCACGGCGAGCGTAAATTCAGCATTTTAATCCTGCAGTATCAAGTTGCCAGCATTTAAATATGCAAACCATAATTCATGTTGTGGTTAGAATTTGGCAACACTGTCTTTGTTGACTTAAAGAAGACCTTATATGGAGATACTAGAACAAATATTCCTGTGCCTCCAACTGAAACTAAGATTTTTCTCTTTCTTTATTATGCCTAATGGTACACAGCGATTTGTGGTGCTGTACTGGAACCTCTTAACCTCGGTGCCAGATCCTGTCTTCTGTCCCCAGACTGAAGTTGTGCTTGGGAATTGTTCAGCTGAAAGAGGAAGGGAGGGACCATGCCTTCTTCATTAAGTGAGAGTCAAAAATAGGCATGGAAAGCTGAATGTAAAAGTCTAAATTTACATAATGCTAAGCCTAATAATTATTTTTACTTGAAATGTAAAATGAAAATTTGTTTTTTGGATGCTGTGGATAAATTCGTGCTGTGATTTTTTCCGGTTCTCAAAAGCAAATGAGGTTCCATTCAGGCAGTTAATGTGTATCTTTTAATCATTTTAAAGAAACACATGTTTAATGGTTGACATACTGTCAGGGGGAATGGATTTAATCTGAGACAGGGAAGGTTTAGGTTGGATATTAGGAGGAAGTTTTTCACACAGAGGGAGGTGATGCACTGGCACAGGTTGCCCAAGGAGGCTGTGGATGCCCCATCCCTGCAGGCATTCAAGGCCAGGCTGGATGTGGCTCTGGGCAGCCTGGGCTGCTGGTTGGTGACCCTGCACACAGCAGGGGATTGGAACTGGATGAACATTGTGGTCCTTTTCAACCCAGGCCATCCTATGATTCTGTGATCTTTTTGTGTAGGGTCGAGAGTGCTCGCTCGGTGGGCTCATCTTCAAAAGTCATTGTCCCATTTATTCCAAGGATATTTAATGAGTATTAAATATTTAGGTAAAATCAGAAGATTGTTCTGCATGGTCTTGAACACTGCTCGGTGAATATCCTGAGCTGGACCCACAAGCATTCTCGCATCCAGCTTGTAGCTCCACACAGGACCACCCAGAAGAGAAAAGTAAACCTTGGAGGAAGCTGCTGTAGTTGTTGAGTGTCTGTCAATCTGTCCAGTGCATGCTTTGGGTTTGCTTTCATAAAGTATCTCAAGGAAGGTCACTGTGGCCGTCAGAAATCCAATGGGTTGCCAGAAGAGTGGGGGGTTTAACAGCTGTATGTACATTGCTGTACCTGGATAATTATGCTACTTCTGTGGGTTCTTTCAGATGTTGTTTTCACTGAAACGTGTGCTTTACCCAGATCCCCACTTAAAAGCCGTAAGAGCATGCATAAAATTGTGATTTTGAGTACAAAAGGCTTTATTTAAAACACGCAGTGTTGTAGAATTCATAATTCTGTTATGAAATAGGCTTCGTATTTCAAATGCAGATAATTGTGTTGGATTTTTTTTTAACACAGCCAGAGATTGCAGGGTATTTAAAGTACTCTTTTATGAAAGCAGCAACATCTGAAGAAGGGTAATTCTCATCTTTTTATGCTTCTGCATACTTGTGAAGTTTCAGGAGAAGGTATTAGTCTTTTATGTTAAATGCATACTAAAGGAAAAAGTTTGAGGTGCTTTGGCAAGAGTAAAAAAGGAATAGATAGACATTATAGTTATCATTCCCATCATAAAACAATAATAGAAGTAAAAATCATAAATTATTAAATCAAGAAGATGTAAATATTGTCTTGTGTAAAATAAATTAAACCACATGCAAGTCTGGAATGTGGTCATATTCAAAACTGGCTGTGAAACTTTTCTGCTTTTTCTTTTCCTTTTTTTTTTTTTTTTTTTTTTTTTTTTTTTTAGAACATTTTTAAAACTTTGAAGTTTTTCATTAAGCAGAGAACAGTTTTAAAAAGTTCTTATTGGAAATGCTTTGTCTTCTTTCTCAGTCTCTCTGCGGTTCCCCCTTGGCATGTAAATGCTTCATGTGTGCAACCCCAGAAGCCTTTAGCCAGCAAGCTCAGCAGACATTGCTCCTGCCTTCCCATCGTGATGAAGCACAGAACCCCAGTCCACAGAACTCCCTTCCTTATTGCCTGTGCCAACACCACAGCTATGTGGTACCTCAGATACAACTGGGGGAAGCACGTAGCTAGTTCAGAGTAGTTTGGTGTTAGTATTGCAGAGTCCTGAGGGTGAGTTTTATTGGTTAGCAAGAACTAAGTTGTCTAAACATAATGTGGTTTTCTCTGACATCTGCTTGCTGCTGGTTCTGTTGGTAAGAAAGGTCAATTATAGCTGTGTTTTTTTGTTTTATCAGTGGGCTTCAAAACTTTGCAACTTGCAGTGACCTATTCTTTCTCTGCTGCTACAGAATGCTTGTCTTGCTGCAGGGAGTCATGCATATAAAAATGATGCAAGTGTGTGCACGTCTCTTCAAAGTGTGCTCAGAGCTGGCAACCACTTGAGAACTGGTGGCTGAGTCTTACTGGAAGTTCATTTGGGTTTCTTTCAAGGTGAAGCTTCGGAACATTCGTGTACCTGTTCTCTTTGCTTTTGGAGAGGCTGCAGAGCAATATAGAATCACAGAATCATTAAGATTGGAAAAGACTTCTAAGATCTCCAATTCCAACCATTATCCAACCCTCACCATTCCCACTGACCACGTCCCTCAGTGCCACATCTCCATGGTTCTGGAGCACCTCCAGGGACAGTGACCCCACCACCTCACTGGGCAGCCTGTGCCACTGCATCACCACTCTTTCTGAGAAGAATTTTTTCCTAGTATCTAACCTGAGTGTCCCTGGCACAACTTAAGGTCATCACCTCTTGTCCTTCTGTGGCATAGGGACTTTATGCAGGTAACAGCTGGAGCCTCCCCTGTGTCAGAGGCAGAGGTTGGTATGTTTGCTTGTTAGAAGCCAAGGAAAAATGTAGATTGGGTCTTCAGGAGTTTGAAGCTCTCTTTAGCTCCTCTTGTCACACCGGTCATCAGCAGGATTGGGCTCTCTAGCTCTGACCACTGTGGAGGTCTGGTTGTTGATGGTGGTTTATCAGTAGGGTTCCTGTGTGCAGCCAGCAGTTAGACTCAGTGATCCCTGCAGGTCCCATCCAACTTGGGATATTCTGTCATTTTCTGTCTGAGAAGTCAGAGCAGACCAGCCTTACTGGCAGCGAGTGTTGTGCTCCTTATAAATTCTTATGGATGTCATTTAACAATGGAATGTTGCAGTGAAAGGCATCAAGGTTATGTTTTAGGTTAATGCTGCAGGATACCCTTCTGTTTTTCTTTGAGCATCCTTTAAGACTCGCTGGTGTGTGTTTGTAGCTTTTTTCCTCAGCTGCTTCTTTGACGCTCCTCAATGCCCTGAGTGAGTCTGCAGAGGCTCTTTTGAGATTCCCCAGTTCTTCAGGGCCACCCTCATTTGTGCTACTCAAACCTTGATCCAGAAAGCCAGGAGGGAAGGCGTGAAGGAGCTGAGTGAGGCTTTTCTCCAGCATAAGCTCTGCAATGCCTCTCTAGCTCCCAGCCAGACTGCTCCCAGCGTTTGTTTCAGACTGTTACCATGAAGCACACTGTTAATCAGCCCAATTAAACAGGGCTCAGCAGCTTGCTTGCTCCTGCAGCTGTTTCCAGGCTGTGGGTTACAAGCTTCAGCTGGATGCATTTACACGATATTTTTTATCACAAGCATGATGCATGAGCCATACCAAATGTCCATTTATACTAGTGCATATTGTTAGCTGTGTGTTCCCCAGTCACCACCACTGTGTAGGCAATGTTAGACTCTGTGCTCTTAAACTACGAGGACATATTTCTGCTTTCTGAAGTCATCTTCCTGGACTTTAAGAAGTGAGTTGTATCCAGCAGGTTAGCAAAATGGATTCAAGGACATGGATAGGGTGTGCCTGCTCTTCCCTTCAGGTTTGAAATGCTGTTTTGCATGATTAATTCCATCAGCATAGCGTGTTTTTCAGGTATCACATCTTAAGAATCACTTAACTGTATGACTGAAGTCTTTCCTTGCTATAGCTCCTGATTCAAATGAATCACGTAGGTTTCACTTTTACCACTGCCTTTATTTTAAATGAATTCCTAATTGATGACCTAGAATATGTGGGATTTCAAATAACACAATTTCTTTGTGATCATCCACACAGACTTGATGAATGAGTTACCCAAACAGGTATTTATCCCAGTGAACATGCTCAGCAGTAGTGGGGATTGCTCGAGCAGTGAAGCTTATGGCTCTGTATGAAGCTCAAAAATGGAGGAGACTTTGGGAGCATGGGATCTGGTGAACACAGCTGTGTACAGTTTGGATTTCTGTGGGTGCTGGACCCACACGCAGGGTAGATCAGTGTAGCCAGTAATGCTTACAAACTGATTCCTGAGAATTAAGTATACTTTCATGCCTCTGACATTTCCCTCTGGTGATATTATTTTTAAAGTTGATTGATTTCCTTGTCGTCCTTTCCAGCCAATTAGCAATGCTGATTTCATCGTTCCCGTTGAAATCGATGGAACCATACATCAGGTAAGCACTGTTGATCACTTAATGTTGCTTTGGTAGCACAGCTGTCTGCAGCATCCCAGAGCATTGCCTTTCTGTTTGCTGCTGTACTCACACCAACTTGGGTTTTTTGCAGCATTCGTGTTTTGATCAGGTATGAGTCTCCATTTTAACTTTTCCAGTTCTTTAGAACGTTCTTCTCAGTATTTCAGTGTATAACTGAATAATAGGTCAGTTGTAAAACATTTTCTATCAGGAAATGACCCAAGGAAGGGCTTTCAGATGTTACTGCACCCATTCAAAAACTGCTTTGAATGCTGCATTCCCTCCACGGACAAATGAGCAGAAGTAGGTGTGAATGTCTGTTATTAGTTCATACAAAGGGAGCTTTGTGGACCTGTAAAGGAGAGCAGAGTTTCTTCAGTTTTTGTGGCAATTTCTGCCCCTTTCCATAAGCGACTTCAGTTCCTCTGATGAGAACTCTTAGAACTTCAGCATCTTTAAAGGGACTAGGTAAAATTTTAAGGCAAGTTTTTGTCTCTTGTTCTTAAAGACCTTCGCTTAACACTCTGAAATAGCTTTCAGTAAATGCATAACACCTCATTTGGAAATCAGTCCCCTCCACCTACCTTAGTTTGGTGTCTTTAACCAGTAGTCATCGCTGAAAGCCTTGAATGAAGTAACTCACAGTACTGTAAGTTGCTGTGAAGTTGAGCCTTTCTGTTAAAGGAAGTTTGCAAAGTGTTTGAAGCAGATTTCATTGGTTGTTGTAAGTTAAAGATGATGCACTTATTGAGTTGCAAGTCTTCTCTGGCTGTAATTCAGTTGAGATTTTAAATACTTTGATTTCTGGAATGCAGTCTTTTTATAAAGATTATTTTTTACTTGGACAAACAGGGTGGTATTTTTAGCTTGCAACAATTGATAGATGATAAAGTTAGCTCATAATCTTGATTTCCTGTTATGAAAACCATCTGTGTAACTGTCACTCTCAAAATAATTACTGAATTATTCAGTGGACTGAAATGGATTTTAAAAGTGATTGTTGCTCTGATAGCTTCTGTGCTGTGCCTGTTTTATGTAGAGAAAAATCAATATTTCGGGTGCTTTAACCTGTGATGTTCACTAGAGCTGAGTGCTTAAAATGTGTCTGTGATGGTTTGGGAGGTTTGTGTGGCAGTAGAGTCTGTCTTCATTTGGTTGGGGCTTTAATTATGCTTAATGCTGTAATTGTGACATTTTTTTTCTCCCAAAGCTTTCGAGAATGTTTGTGAAAGGGAATAAAATAGGTTGCCTAACAACCTATTTGCAACAAAACCACCAAAGACCGGGCTTTACTGTCAAGCACTCCAAAAGCTTTTCCACTCTTCGCTGCCAGCGTTCACCAAATTTAATGCAGTTTAGACAATGTGAAAAAACAAACGCAGGAATTTTTCTTAATATTTAAAGGTGTGGTTGGGAACAGGGAAGTCGGTTTGTTTGTAGCCTGAACTCGAAGGGTAGCAAGGATGCTCTTGACAGAAGGTCAAGTGAAGTCAGTTTCTGAATGTGCCTCATTGGAGACCCCCTGTGTGATTTTCAGGAAATCACTTAATCTCAGTGAACTTCCAAGTTCTCAGTCTCTGAAACTGGTGAAACGTCTCAGTCAAATCTGGTGGTTAAATGGGTTTAATGGTAGGGAATTTGTGATCCCTGAAGTAATTTATCTGTCTGGATTTGTCATCTTTACCATCTTCTCAAGAAATGTATATATTCAAAGGTGAAGGAAATAGTTTCGTCTGTTTAAAATGCCATGGGATGTGTGAACAGTGGAGCTGTGCCATCAGTAGCACATCCTATCTGCCTTAGGTAGAACCCCATGGAAAACATGGAGAAGAAACTTTCAGAAGTGCCCATCTGGAAAGAAATTTGACTCAGGTCTTCAGATCTCATACACCACAGTTGCTTTTACGTGGTGAATTTGTGTTTGCCTTTGTGTTGCTGTATGCTTCCAAGAGATTTCATACGGACTTATCAAACAGGTTTTCTTTATGGTACATCTTATATTCTTTGTTGTGGTGCAGCAAAGTCATTCAGAAAGACTTATCTTGAATTGTTGGGTGTTTTTATCTCTTTCTCCTGTGTAACCCAGAGGTCAGAGAAGCTTTTACTCTCCTACAGAAAGGTCCATTGGATCACTGTCTTGGGTAAACCAGCTTGCTTAGATTAACGAAATAGCTTTTCTGAAGCCCCTCTGGCTTTTTTCAGCTTTCCATCTCTTGTTAGAAAGGATTTGCCATTAAATCTAACAAGGAAGGACCTCTCGTTCCTGCTGTTGAAGGTGTTCAGATGCCTGCAGAGGCTGCAAGCTTGTATTCCTGAACATGAATTCCCCACACTGTTGGAAATTATGGCACAGATTTAAAAAGCAGTTTGTTTTTGACCAGTTCTCTTAATTTCTTTTTGGTTCTCTGAATAAAAGGAGATCGGAGCTGGTCCCCTATTTTGCCAAATTACAAGCGAGAAACTGTGGGAAGTGCAGTGGAATGTGTTGCAACTGAGACTTGAGTGCTCTTCAGAAGGAGTTAATTGAGGGTGAAAGTAGTGGTTGGAGAAAGGATGTTCAACCTGTCTGGTACTTGACAGAACTTCTGCAGGAACATGTTCTCTCTCATTGAGGGTGCTTCCCATTCATAGGTCCACAGAGAATCGTGAAGATTGGAAAAGACCTCCAAGGTCATCTGGTCCAACCATCAGCCCATCACCACCATGCCCACTAAACCATGTCCACCACTGCACCACTTCCCTGGGCAACCTGTCCCACTGCATTTCAGTTTGGTGTCCCTGAATGTAACTTGTTTATTAATTGCAACTGTATTTTAAGTGGGTTTTATATCAGTAAATAATTGCTTGATGTTAGTTGTTGAATGATAAAGAGATGTTTAGGGCTTCTACTATGAATGTAACGTACAAAATGTTTTCTCATGTTGGGAGCAAATGCCATTCAAATAATACACTTTTTTTTCTATGACTGTCAAAACTCCTTAATTCTGTTACAGAAGGCTGTCACCTGGTTCAAGTAATCCAGGATAGGCTGTATCCATTCCTGCTGGCCTATTCTTGGTTACTTGCACTGGGAGGCAGCCACAGTGCTGCAGATCAGGAAGACAAAGCTGGAGGATGATGCCAAACTGGGACGACAAGGCTGGAAGACGCTGAACTGGGATGACAAGGCTAGAGGGTGCCAAACTGGGAAGATGAGGCTGGAGGACGTGTATTATTTGCCCTGTGAGGGGAAAATACAGAAGCTTGAGGTGTCACGGGCAGAATTCTTTGTCATTACTTGAAGATTGTGTTATCCTGGAAGTTCACTCTGAAATGCAATTCTGTGTCTCTTTTGGTTTGCGAATACAAAGTCCTTTTAGGTTAGGACTGCTTTGAGGTATAGAAACTGTATGTGGAAATACGAAATGCTTGAAAGCAGTTCAAGATGATTCTTCGTGTGCTGCCATTAGCAGTTGTAAATCCAGAATCCTGTGAAAACATGCCTAGTGCCTGATTCATCCCTCAGCGTTTAAAAGTAAGGTTCATAGAAAGTGACTCTACTCCTTTAAATTCTCACTGTGCTTAGAAAGATCTTAGCGAGCATACAGTGCAGAAAAAATGGAGGTTTTGTTAATGCCTGGAAGGCAGTGTGTAAATCTCAGAAAAATGCCAGGAGCCAGTTAGTCTAGAGACTCAAACTGAAGCCATCAGGCAGCGGAGGAAAAAGCCAAGCCACAAATAACCATGCTGCATTGAGATTCAAGTCCAGCAGCTGACAGAGTAAAGGGAAAAAATTCCAAATGAGGAGGAAGAGGAGAAAAGAGCCTCACTGTCGGCTTAAGAAAGCTTTTTATGTGAAGTAAACCAAAGAGATTTTGTAGCCTGGGATACGAGTATGCTTGCAGTTGCTTCCAGGATCTAAGTAGGACTTCTCAAAGCGATTTTAAGGGGAATATCCATCCAGAGTATGAATAAATGTTGTTCTGGAAAAAATCAGTCTTGCTTTAAAAGAAAGGGATGAAGGAGCTGGGGCCCTTTGGAGGGAGGAAACGTAGTGGGAACTCCTCTGACAAGGCTGGAAACTAACAGAGTAGTATTTATTATTAATGAGGCACTTAAATGAGGAGAGAATCTGTTGGCCTGGGTCCAGTTGGTAACACGTAAGGGAAGCTGAGGTATAAGAGGGTGATGGTGCCCTGTGGTTGATCTAAAGAGCAGAACAAAGGGACTGCAACCTAAAAATGCTGTGTACATAAGCTCCTGTTGAGCGGGTGCTGCTGTGTGACTGCAGGAGAGCTGCACGTTGCAAAGGGTGCATTTTCCAGTCATGCCCTTCTATAAGCTCTCCTGCATGCAAGGCTGTGCCTGCCAGGTTGGTGCTGCAGGCTCCCACTGTGGCAGAGATGGGTTTTGTGCAAGCAGCAGCGCCCATATCCTTGGCTTGGAGTTCAGGATTGCATTCCAAGTGGGAATTCTTTGCCAGCACAGGCGTAAATAAAGATGGAGAGGAAAGGAGATTTCTGCTGCAGCTGAAAACACACGTTTTTAAAAGGGAAATTAATACCAGATTCCAGCTCTTACTGTCTAAGAATGATTTTAAGACCTTGGGGTGTCCATTTGTGCTCTCTAAATTAAGTTCAGGAATGCAATTTCAAGTTGAAAAATTAAGAACTTTGTTACGAACTGTAGAGTTAATGAGCAACTTTTGTCCTGCTGTCTTTTCTCTTACGACTTGCAAGTCAGATCGCTGTCTCTCTGGGCACCCAAATGCAGAGCGACTGCAGCTGCAAAGGAAATACTACAGAGCCACTTTGCATACTAGGATTTAAGTGATGAATTAATTGCACTGTTAGAGGAGAGGAAGTTACTTGGTATATGCCTAGTGAAATGCAGGAAACTTTGCAGTAATTATCTGGAAAGAGCAGTGTTACAGTGCAACTACCAAGTGCTTTCAGTTCATAAATGGCACCATTGATTAGTTGGGTGCTGCTGTGGTTTCTAAAGGAAAAAAAATCTGCATTATAAATTTTGGCCGCATCGAAGTTTGATTGCAGTGCTTAAATCTGAACTGAAGTCTGGTTAAACTTAATAAAAAGAACTTAGCATGAAGAATTGGTTTGCTTGCTGTGAGCCATTTGCCACTTGAAGCAAAGTGGGAAGGCAGTTAACATTTCTGCTTTCGTCATGAAGGTACAGCTCCATCATCTCTGTTTTTAATAAAACTTGGCTGTCAGATTTAGATGTTAAATTTCAGATCCCTCTTACACAACTTTCACTCCTTTGCTAAAGGCTCTTGTTGCACGTGAGTTCAAGCTACCATTTCCATATTCTTCTCCTGCAGGCTTTTTCTCTGGGTGCCTGAAGTTTTTGCCTTTTTGTTCCTATGAATGTAGAAAATACATGCAATTAATCTAGTTCTCCTGTATACCAAAGAAATAATGCCTGAAATCGCTTCAGCCTTGCAGTTCTGCTTAAATCCAGTTGTTTGCCAGGCTTTTCCATTTGAGGTTTCTAGCAGTAGGGGTTATTTGCCAAATGAAGGAGATAAGATGCTGCTGGTGTTTTCTCTCCAGCTTTTACTCTAACCCCAAACAAGGTAGATAAATATTTTTCAGGCAGCTTCTCCTCTTTGGCTTCCCAGTGCATTGCAGTCTTGTTGCAGGCTTTCTGCATAGCAGTTACCTTATCTTGCTGTTCTCAAGGAACACAAATCATCTTGCTTGCTCTGAAAAGGTGAGCAAGGAGGCTCTAATTCTTACTAATCAGATGATTGGCAATAGGCAGCCAGAATTCCCAGATCCTTGTCAATGCCAGATGGCTGTGCTGCGTTGCTGAACTCAAGCTGCTCCAGAGCAGAATCCTGAGTGTTTGCCATCTCTATGGCATGGTGACTGTAGGAGATGATACAGGCTCTGCTGAGAGGTCCAAATTGTCATCTCTTGGAAGCCCTGCTGTTTTTCTTTGCCTTAAGTGAGGTTTTCAGGAAGCATCACCACAGGTACATGTACAGTACAGCACACTACTAGCAGTTGCATTATCAGCATGGGTCTTTGCAGCCCATACATTCAAATTGCTCTTTATTGAATGTCTGCTTTTATCATGCATACTTATTTTTCAGCATTGAGCATTTGAATGGTAACTTTTCTTTCTTCAGGTGTTGGGATTACAGTGGTGGGTTGTGTTTTTTTGCTTTCTTTTTTACCTTAAACACCACTTGGCCTAAACAGTCATTGTCATTCCAGGTGTATGTATTGAAGCGACCACATGTGGATGAATTTCTTCAAAGGATGGGAGAGCTCTTTGAATGTGTCCTCTTCACAGCAAGTCTAGCCAAGGTTTGTTCCTCTTTTCATCCCTTTCACCCATATGATGCCGGGCTTTGGGTTGGCTTTTCTGTGGCTAATTATTTCCAAGGTTTGGCGCTATCTTAATTTTTCCCCTTCTTTTCTGCTTCTTTGTCTGACAGTGTGTACTTTGTCTGCTAGTGTGTGGGTAAGTGTTCCCATGGTGACGCTATCACATATGGGCTCAGCTCATCATGTAGCCTCCATGCATTGCTCATAATGCCAATATGAAAGGCTTGCAAGTTACCATGGTTATAGTCAGAAATTAGAACAAATAGCGTGCGAGTACAGCAGTATATTAAAGCTGGGCATGAAATAAAGCACTCTATTTAACACAACCCTCGTGATCAAACAGTGACTCAGAAATTTATTGCGTGTGAAAAATTTGGTTGGTGTTTTTGTCCTGTCAAGGTGCAATTGGAGTCTGCGGTTAGGAAATCAAAGCTTGAAATATCAACAGGAATATTTTGTGCCCTCTGGTAGCAGTAGTGCCTTGTAGGTGGTGTTGTGGTAGACACTGCAGTAGAGGACGCCTAAAATGCAATTTTTCCTAAGTATTGTGTTTGTGATGTCTTGTTTGTAAAGCTGTGTTTGTTAGTTTTTAATAATATGCCAGCACAGTAAGCTTTTACTCCAATATGCCATTGAGATTGGTGGAAGGAGAAAGAACCCTGTGTGATCTGCCATAGTGCCTTATTAGCGGCTTCATCCCTGTGCTCTGTCTGCCATGTTCTGTTCAGTCACCTGATGGAAATCCTGAATCATGGAACAATTTGGTCCTGCACTCCAGCAGTTTTCACAGTCGAGAGGTGTCTGATTTTAAGACACATTCTGTTACTCATTTTAAAATGCAGGGAAACATAAGTCCTGCCCTGCAGAAACAAGTTCTGACTAGCATTTACAAATACACAGTCACCTCACTTTCTTACTTGGGTGTTTTTTCTTGGACAGTTACATCAACTGTTGGATCCTAAGTTGTGCTTCACTTCAAGTATCATCGTATGTATGAAATGGTACACCTTTGATTTACTGACTTTTGGAGAATTCCCAAGCACACAAGCACTTCTTTCCGTGACACCCTTTTATCTGATCTTTTATGAGCCAGTTATGCAATCTGGTGATGTTGGAGCTCTTACTGCCCCAGTCATTCCATGCCCATTGTTTGGAAAAGCTGCATCTGGCTGAGGTGACTGCATTGCAGATTGTCTTCGGAGGCACGTGGAAATGAATCACTTGGGGAAATGGCTTCCTATTGATTTTCTGTTAGTGTTCATTGGTTTTATGGTAATATTCCATGAGATCTCTGGATCCGTCAACTTCTGAGTGTAAAAGGGTAACTGTAAGATGACCCTAAGAATAAAACACAATCACAGAAATCATTAGGGTGCAAGTTAGCTTTCTTCTGAAAGATAACAGTACAACTTCTGCTTTATCTCTCTATTAATCACTTCAGCTTTGCAGGGCTATAAGGTAATTAACAAAGAGCAGGGAAGAAAAAGAGGAAAAAGCATTTTATCTGGAATTATTTTGTATCCCTTCTTTATAGCTCTGTGAATTAACTGCTAACTGGGTCTTCTGTCTTCTGTTTTCAAGTATGCAGACCCAGTAGCCGACTTACTGGATCGCTGGGGTGTGTTCAGGGCAAGGCTATTCAGAGAATCCTGCGTTTTCCACCGGGGAAATTACGTGAAGGATCTGAGTCGGCTGGGACGTGAGCTGAGTAAAGTTATCATAGTGGATAATTCTCCTGCATCTTACATCTTCCATCCTGAAAATGCAGTAAGTGCTCTTATTCCAGCGCTCAAGCATAGCTTTGTCTTTCTGGTCCATTCCCAGACCTTTCCTGATTTGTAAAATGCACTTTCAGAACGCTAACATTGCTTGTTTCTGTGTCTTCTCAGGCTGCAGGTAGGTTCTGGTGAAGGGCTGTGGCAAATAGATCTTGGCAGTGCGTCACAGTCGCGACTGTTCATCTGCTTTCACTTTTAGCTTTTGGCCTGAAGTCCATCAGTTTTGAGAAATACCAAGCACTGCAGAACCTGCATATCTAACCTCCCTCTAAAAAGTAAAGTTGCCCTCCAGTGTCGTTTTTGTCCTTTGGAGCAGTGGCTATAGTAAGGACAGCCTGCTTCAGCTGCTTTTGGTACTTATCTTCTTTCATTGTGGGAGAGAAATTGTTTTATTAGGAAAAAAAAAAGTTTTTCTGATTGCTGTGTTCTGAATTCATGGCTAAGGGGAGGAAAAAAAAATCAAGGTCCTGTTGTTTTACATTTGTAAGCATTTTTGTGATAGCTTGCTTTACAGTTAGAAATGTCAATCAGCAAATTGATCAGGTTTCAGAAATAAGGATAAAAGTCAGGCAGTGGATCTCAAAGGAAAAAAAGCAGGAACAGTGCATGTTTTCACATTGTGATTGCAGAAGCTGTGGTGGAATGGCCTGGCACTTGGCTCCTTCCATTGCTGCTGTCAGTACAGATGTGTTTTGTTGCTGCCTGGACAGCAAGCTGGAACTTCCCTTATATCTACTGGCTCGTAAACAACTGGGCTGTGTCGTGTCTCTTTCATGATTTTAGGCTGCCTTTTCTGTGAGCTTTTAAAATTAGTGTAGGAAACTTTTATGAGGGATGGTGTTTCACAGGGTTCTGCCTCCCCAGATAACATTTTTTTTTGTCTAAACTTCTTTATCTTACACAGTAAGCTTTTAAATTCCCAGCTTAATACTGTCCTGAACCATTAAGTGAAAACGTGTTTTCTGCTGGTTGGTGCCACACATGGTTTAAAGTTGCTATTTATAACAACCAGGAGCTGTAAGTTTAATTTATGTTCACAATTAAAATTAAAAACCTCATCCAGATCGTCATTTGGTATCTCGGAGCCCAGTGCCAAGAAAATAATGAGCTGTAGAAATTTGGGAGGTGAAATTAAAGACTGTCAGAATGGTTTAATCATGTATAGGAAAGTGCTGCTAGCTGACTGATAGCTGAGGCTCTGCAGAAACCAAAGCGTGCAGCTTAGATCCAAGATAGTCTTTAAAAGACTTCAGTATCTCTCACAGTGAAGATGCACACAACTCCTTCCCCAAACCCAGCCCTCATTTAAGGTTTAGGTGTTATTAAATGCATTATTTTCTGACCCCACTCCCAAGGTTTTGTCTTTTAATTGGAGCTGTGCAGTATTTGCTGTTCAGTTTTCCTCCTTAGCCTCATGTGCCAGAGGAGGCTGTTGCTGCATACCTGTGCTCAGCGACTCACACTGATAATACTGAGAGGGAAAAAAAGACTTGCTTGTAAATGAATTCTTCCAGGTGGGGTATCATTGCAGCTGTATGAGCTACGTCTACGCAGGCAGAGCTCGCACACTTTCTTCACATCAGGAGGTCTTCATAGCACTGTTGGTTCTCTGTTTCAGGTGCCTGTGCAGTCCTGGTTTGATGACATGACAGACACAGAGCTGCTAGATCTTATTCCTTTCTTTGAAGGACTAAGCAAAGAGGAAGAAGTTTACAGTATGCTTCATAAACTCTGCAACAGGTAGCCCTTAACTTTGACTGACTCCTGCTACTAGATTGCAGTTGCTAGAGGATGTCTCCATCTTTTTCAGCTCTTTCAAATGTAAGCTTTGGGGAGGTCACTCCTGTCAGAAGTGCTACTCTCGATCTTCCTGTTACATTGGACACAAAGGACAATCATGAGTGATGCTATTAAGCCTTCAGAAGCCTGACTCCTAAGGTCACGTGTTCAGACTACTTTTTTTTAAAGGAAAAAAAAAAAAAAAAAGAAGCTATTTTAAATGGGACTCTTTTAATGAATTTCATAAATGGACATCTTTTACTGGATCAGCTTTTCTTAAAACATGCCAAAAAAGAAGCTTGTATTTCAGCAGTTGAATTTCTCTCCCTTTCTTCCCCTCCCACTATGCAGACAATTTTACCCCCCCTGCTTAGAGCAGTTGACCTGACTCTGAATTTTTTCTTACAGAATGAAGTGCCTTTTTGAATGTTATTTTAAGATAAAAATTCATTTTTGTATAAGACTTATTTCCAGACATCTTTTAGTCTTGTATTGTCTAAATGCTTTAAAAGGAAAAAGGAAAAAATTTTATAGAGCACTGTAATATATAACAAAGGAAAAAAAAGTCAAAAACAAAGATGCTGGGTTCCTGTCTCCACGCTGACATTAAGTTGTACTACAATTTGTCATGCTCAGAAGGTTTAAGTGTTTGTGGGAGGGGGTGATTTGGGTCACTGATGTGGTTTTGGATACAGCTTTGAACATATCTGCAGTTGTTCTGAGTATTAGGGAGTGGCGGAATTGAGAACATAGGGTGACAAATAGATCTAAAGCACCTTTAATTCTAGACAGATGAAGTTCTGTTGTCTCTGCTTACGCACAACTGTCATGCCTCTCATCTTTTGGAAAATCATTACCTGGGGAGAATGGGGAGGAGATCTATTTATTGGTTTAAAATTCTTTCCTTAAAAAGAGACCCGTCTGGGTAAGCTGGATCTGTATGGAGCTGTTTGGAGTACTTTTTTCTTTTAATTGCTGCTACTGTATACTCACCAAATGGAGTTGACCATCGGCTGTTAAACTGTTTTTGCCACTGTGCCTGTGCTATGAAACATTTTCTGTAAGCTGCAAACTTGGGCAATAAATAAAACGCAGGCTTCATAACCCTTATGTATTAATCCTATGGTATTCGAGATACCAGCAAACACAGTAAAAGGTGACCTGCAAAGGAAATCTTGTTAATCATCCTATTATTTGCTTCAGTATAGATGAAATCCTTTCCCTTTTTTTGGTATATGAAAAAGCAAAAAGTATTCTTCCCTTATCTGATCTGTATTTCTTCTTTTCCAAAGTGTAATGTACAGGCAGGGAGCTGTGTCAGCTCTTCCCAGAAGGGCAGAATTACCAGCCTAGATGGTCTCCAGAGCGGTCCTCTACTTTGGAGCTGACTAAATCTCACTCTGAAGCTGGAATCCTGCTTAGCAGCTGTTTTCAAGTGTCATTGGTACACTGGAATAACTTCAAAACTATTTAAAACCCTTTGAAGGAAAATGCACTTATTTGTTTTCCTTTCCAGCGTCACCTTTTAATTATTTTCCGCACCAGAAACCTACAAACGTAAAATTTGCAGCTATATTTGGTTGCCATCAAAGAAAACCAAATGAGAGGAGTTGGTGCTTCTAATTAGCATGGCGCTAAATCCCGAGCAGCGGATCCCCCTTTGCCTTTCCCTTTCTTCCTGAAAAGTCTTGACAGACTTGGGCGGGGGGGGGAGGGGAAAGAAAAATAAGACAGAAAAAGCGATGGACTCATCATCCTTATCCAACCCATTGGTGAAGCAGCTTAAGGAATCCATTCATAGAAGGGCAGGCCAGCCTACGCAGGCAGTGAGTAGGTTGGTGTGGGTGCAGTGCGAGCTGGGGGATGACCTGGCCCTCGCAGGGAGGGTGATGGAGGCAGCCCAGGGACACTTGTGAGTCTGTGCGGCGTCACCGTTTTGTTCCCTTGCCAGTTGGCATTACCTTAGTGCTGTACGACTCTGTGCCACAACGAAAGACAAAGCTGACACTTAAACGTTCGAAAAACAGCAACAGCAACAAAAGCATACGTTGCTTGGGAAAAGTAAAAAGCAACATGTGGATTCTGGTTAGTCCATGAACGTTGACTTTCAGTTTGAGATTGTTTAATTTCGTATTTGAATTCAGAGTAATGGGACTGTAAGCTGCCAAAAAGTTGTTCTCTGAGCAGTATTTTCAACTGTGTTTGTAGCTCCTGTGCTGCAGATGCAGTTTGCAGGGAAGGTATTCAGGTCGTAGTTAGTTGTGCAGGTATGATAGGAATGGCTGAAAATATTCAAAGACTTTCTCGCTAGCATTAGACCAAACAATCTTCCAGTTAGATGATGAGTAACCCCCTGAGACGTCCCCGTTCACGGTTGTAACCCGTTACATGTGAGATGAACATGTCCTTAGTGTGCATCTACGAAAGCAGCAATTTCATGAACCAGTTGCCTTAAGTCTGTGAATGAATGTTGATTATTCAAGTGTCTTGTATTGTTTTCAAATCCACATATAATGGACAACTGAACTTCTGTTCCAGGTTCTGGATGAGCAGTTCTGATGACGCTCTGTACAGCTCCACTTGTTCTGTATTGTTTAGTTCAGCTCTTGAAATGCACAAGTTTTCAGGCAAAAAAACCACCTTATTTTAGCAGAGTAAAGCATTAAAATGATACTTGGTGACAAAACGAAGGGGGTGAAACCTAGCAACAGTTTTGATCTCTGCTAGCATTTTAGGATTCTCTTCTGTAATGTCAGTTGTAGGTTTGTCAGTCTTGTGGTAGTTTGGGGGCTTTTTCATTTGATGTTTCTTCTTAATTCATTCCCATTGAAATAAAACTTGGGGTGTTCAGAGCTTTCCTGGCTACTCAGATTTGGGCAAAGGGATCAAATCATCACATTTGTTTATTTTGATGCTGTTGTCATACGTAAAACTCCACGTTTTAAGTTAGCACGAATATCCATGCACTGTATATCGAAAGCATCTAGAATCTAACAGAGCAATAGAGTTCTCTCAGCAAAGCCAGAGAAATGAGTGGAATGTCTGCAAGATTTGCAATACGGGTATTTGATTGTATGATAAATACAAGATCTCAAGAAATTAAAACAGGAGAGAAGAAGGGTTTCCTAAAGCTCTCCAATATTTCCAAGTGCAGTTAAGGCAGGCAGGGCTGGCGCTCAGCCTGCTTCTCAGCTGCATTCCTGGGTATCAGAGAAGCATTAAGGAGTCTTTTCCAGTCCGTGGTTCAGTCCAGCGAAAGCAATGCTGCCTGACCTGAAATTCCGTTGTCCGTTTTATGTTGGGTTCACAAAGGTTTTTTGCCTGTATAGGTATTTTTAAATGAAGCTGTAAGGCAGAATGCCATCGATCCTTGAAACTCAACCGAAGCGTTCCGATTAAATTGCTTTTGTAAACGTAGGGCTGTGCGTGGAATGTTTGTTGGCCGCCGATTGAGGACGGCAGCAACGTGCTGCGCTCACCGAGGCGGCTTCGGAGGAGTCATCCGTTGTTTGGCCCTTCAGCCTTTCTTAAGCAGCAAAGTCATACATGGAAGAAGCTCAGCACCTGGAGAGATGGGGTTATCGATGGAAACGGTCGCTTTCATCACACCGTGATTCTGATGGGACTGGCTGGGGACAACTATGGAAACGACAGCGGTGTGTGCTGATGTTGCAGCTTTGGAAATGTCAGTGTAAAAAAAACAAACAAACAAACCCCACAAACCTGTAGCTATATAATTTCCAAACACGTAATCCTCTGTTTTACAGATTCTTTTTAACTAATAAAACACAGTACCGCACAGCCCTGTTTGTAAAACAAAACCCAGTTTGTGCCTCTGATTTCCAAGGTGCTGTGATGTGTGCCTTTGTGGGGCAGGAGGGCAGGTGAGACGCGCGGGCCGTCGCCGCACACTCGGGGTAACTATGCAACACCAGCTGTCAGGTCGCTGTTTCACGTTCTGTTGTAACAATCCAGCTGACATCTTTTTTCTTCTTTCTATCGGGCACTTCTTAACAGAGGAGTTGAGCAATGGAAATGTTTCTTGGTGATTTTTTTTTTTTTTTCCTAATGATGGAGCTGTTTACACTTTAATGCAATGAACAATCCAGTGATACTTGAGAAACACTACAGATACCAGGAGTGTTTTCAGGAGAGAGAAGTGTTGTCAATCAGGTTTTGAATGGTTTCTTTACTGTCACAAATAAAAAAGATTTTGCCAATGTAGTTACTTGTGCATGTAATACTTCTCTGGGGAAAAAAAAAAAACAACAAAACAACTTCTGCCCTTCTCCTTTCAGTAACAGTCACTGTACTGGCACTGTATTCCTGCTGTACACATCCATGTTAGGCAGTGAAGTCCTCCATCTCTCTCTCCTTCCCTCTCCTCGTCTTAAATCACATACAGGACTCCTCATGGACTTGCCCTGGCACCTGCTTGTGCAAACAGAGCTGATGAACTGCTGGTGAATTCTGCTAAACAAATTGGTGGTGACTCTGGCAGACGTTCCAGCTATTTACATCGCTGGGATGAGGTCACACATCAGGGTGTTGAAGTCTCAGAGCTGGGGGATGTCTTGCGAAGGGCTCACTGCAGCTACTGGAATAGCTGATCTTAAAATCACTGCTGTGTCCGTGTGGGTATCTGAATAGTATGGTTGGTTTGCTTGGAAGGTCTATTTCAGGACTTATCTGACACAGTAAGACTTAGGCAGAGCTTTCCTTCCTAGGAAAAGGCACACAACATGAATGCTTTATGAGCAGAAAACCTCAGGCCTGGCAGAAGCAGCAGCTGGCTCCAGGTAACTTGCTAGCTGGAATTTGGGGTCGTTCCTGTGACTGGTTGGAATGACCTAGATTGCCTGCGCTTTCTGATGGGTTGGGTTTTTTTGGGTAGTGGTTTTTTTTCAGTTTTACCCACCTCTTTACTGCTGCTTAGGGTAAACACGCCTGCCTCTAGCTCAGTACATAAACTATCTCACAATTCACAAAACAGCACTTTCAGAGGAGCGAGAAAAATATCATTGCTGTGTCCCCAGTGATTGAAACCACTTCCAAAACCAAACGCATCTACGTCCCTACCTTTGTGCACATGCCTTCAAGCTGCTTCTGCCCTTTTGTTGTGTCATGACTCAGAAGGAAAGCCATCTGCTCTGACATCTGCACCGCCTGCTGGGCTTTTCCAGGTGGGTGCAGCTCCAGGCCCCGCAGCCCCCAGCACTGTTCCTGGCGTGGATGGCAGCGCTGCAGCCCTTCGTCGTCCCTGTGCTCAGGAGCACAGAGTTCTTGTGGACTCCTGTGCTGCTTCACCTGGAGCTTCCAAAAAAGAAACAACCTTTGAGTTATAGATTGGTCTGGCAAACAAAGCTTCCTTCTCAAATGCTGATTTAGAGGAAGACGTGCAGAGGAGCAGGTTGTCCTGGGGTTGCCCAAGCATCATTTCTGGAAGCTACCAGCTTGAATTTACTGAGTCAAGTCACTTCTCTATTAAAGTAGATCTGCGTTGCAGTTGTGCACCTTCACCATGTAACGGTTTAAACTGACTTGGGTTGGGCATCCTTTAAGCCGGCAGCAGACTGAAGTTTTGAGATGGTGGCTGCATCAGCTTGGCCATACCCATAGACCTCAGAGGACACACTCTCTTCCGTGACCACCATTGCTTCATTTCACATTGATCTCCCAGTGTGCTGTAGCCACGTTTGGGATGTACATCACATGAAGATGTTGGGACAGAGAAATGAAGGTCAGCAGGACCAAGGCTGGTGGGCCAGCAGAGGATTCCCTATTTGGCACCACCAAGGATCGCTGTTGTCCTCAACACAGCAGGCTGAGTATTTCAACCTTACTAACAACTGCACAGCATCCACAGATGCTACACGCAGTCTGGGGGTTGTTCCAAGAGTTACTGGCTTGGCAATGGACCGTTTTCTTTGCAGGATAGAAAGTTCTCATTCCTTTCCTGCCCAAGTACAGACTCTGGTCAAGATGAAGCCCTGATGGGTAAGCTAGGTTCAGTCCTTGTTCTTTTCTTGTTCACCTGTTGAGATTTGGATAGAAGAGATTGCAGCTACCGAAGCCACCGATGTCAGGTTGGATATTAGGAACAATTTCGTCTCTACAGGAGTGGTGATGCACTGGTACTGGCTGCCCAGGGTGGTCACCATCCCTGGAGATGTTCCAGAACTGTGCAGATGTGCTCTGCTACCATCTGTCCCTTTGCAATCGATAGAAACATCAGAATTGCCCACTGTGAGTGCATGAGGGGCCTGTTACTGGTCGGGTGACAACCGATCTGCTGCCAAGCAATGTTTGTACCCTGAGCAAACTGGAAGGAACTGGTGGGACTGGTGTATGCAATGAGTTGGCTCAAGATGACCATGGTGGCATTGCTGGCTGGGTAGGGAGAGGGCTTGTCCTGTTCTGCTCTGCATGGTGCAGCCTCACCTCAAGCACTGGATGCAGGTGTGGGTACTGCTGAGAAGAAAGAATGTAAAGCTTTTAGAGTCAACAGAGATGGGGTATGGTCTGGAGGGCAAGGGGTGTGAGGAGGAGCAGAGCAGGCTGAGGGGAGGGCTCATGGCCATACAGCCACTCACAGGGAGAGGAGATGCAGCGCTGAGCTCTGCTCTCTGGGTGCAGCAACAGAGCCAGAGGGAACAGCAGAGAGCTGTCAGGGTAGAGGCAGCTGGGGTTGAGGGAAAGGCTGTGCCCCAGAGGGTGATGGGCATGGAATGGCTGCCAGGGGCAGTGGGCACGGTCCTGAGTGCCAGAGCTCATGGAGCACTGGGACACTGCTCTCAGATGTTGGGGTTGGGTTTGGGTGGTACTGGGTTAGAGCTGGGGGTTGCACTCAATGATCCTCGTGGGTCCTTTCCAACTTGGGATGTTCTATGATTTTGGTGAACATGAAGGCAACAGGAACCAAAGCAACGTGGGAGCAAACTGGCCCCACTCCCTCATCTGGCTGGATTCCTGCTGCTCTCCATTCAATTACAGGATGCTCATTAGGCCCACCAGCAGGGTGATGGGTGGAATTGCTGCACTTTATCATCAAATCATAGCATGGCGTGGGTTGGAAGGGACTTTAAAGGTCATCCAGTTCCAACCCCTGCCACAGGCTGGATGCCACCCACTAGACCTGGCTGCCCAGTTCCCCATCTGGCCTGGCTTTGTGTGCCAATGATGTCTTTGGCCATTCTGTACCTTCGTGGGCAAACACATTTATGAGATGGAGGAGGAAGGATTTTATCAAGAGCTGAGCCTATTTCCAGCTGAGCAGAGCAATTTACTGTGTGAGAGTTGGGCTGAGACTGAGCTTGGATGGGGACTTGCCTTGGCTCAGTGTCCCTTAAACTGCCTTCTAATAATTTCTCTAAATGGTGAGGGTTTGGGAGGCTCACTTAGCTCAATGGAGCCTTGGTCTCCAAACCATCTACAGACTTGTCAGTAATTCAGCTGAGGCAGATGTAGACAAATCATCATTTCCTGGTCCTGATGCCTTGCGTACTGAGCAGGTCTTGAAATGGCAACTGAAAGAATGGGGGCAAATATTTGAGATGATGATGGTTGCGATTGAAAGGAGGGGTGATGGGGTGACCTTGTGGCACTGGGATGAGACAGGCAGGGCCTGACAGTGGGTGCCCCTGGGTTTTGTACTCTGGTCAAAGTCTTCGGAGAATGGAGAGGAAAATGAAGGTTGGAAGGCTTTGGCCATGCAGGGTGTGGGTGCACCACGAGATGGTGCAGCTGTGCAGCGATGGCTGCTGAAGGCACCATAAAAGGAGTTGAGGAGACGTTTATCTCAAGTGCAATCATCGCCTCAGCTTTGGTGTCTTCATCTGCTGCCAGCATTGTGCTCCGCGTGGGAAATGTCTTCCCTCATTTAAAATCGCTCTTGGTGCCTCGGATGTAATTTCTTCATTTGTTTAATGAGTGCTGAAATCCCTTGCAGAAGGAGCCGGGGTCTCCCCAGCTGAACACAGCGCACGGAATATTTGTGTTCATTTCAGTTATTGAGTTTTTTCTTCCATGGAAGCAAGGATCCTCTCATCAGCGCGTAAAAAGTAAAGAGGGAAATCAATGTTTCTCAAGCAGAGTTTGAAATGATGTTGTTATACCTTCCCTGGTGGGATAAATGCTCTTATCTGCCAAAATCTTTGCTGCTAACCTTGGTGGTTTGTTTGTTCGTCTTCAGCAGCAGCGTTTTAACTTGTTTGGGATTTGGCTGAAGTGCCCAATGAGAGCTGGGCACAGATGTTATATCTCCCTTCGTTACATTCTAATGAAGATAAGACCTCATCTCTGGGAATTTGGTTGGTGGATGGTGGGAGAGGCTGAATTGGGGTCACTGGTGCTGGGTGCCGCCGGGGAGGGGATGGGACAACGGGTGATGCCCGTGGGGGCTGTGAGATGCACCAAGCAGCCAAGCAAAGCCGCCCCTGCTCCCTGGGCCCGTGCCATGCATTGCCTGGGTTTCAGCTGAAGGTTCCTTCATTCTTTCCCCCACAGCCATTTGTATTTCGATGGGTCGCAGCTCCAGTGTGAAACTGGTGTGTGTGTGTGTGTGTGTTAACTCGAGCTGCCCTTGCAAAGAATGAAAAATGTCTCTCTTACCAACTTAAATAAGCACGGTGGGTTTTCCTGTGCTCCTGCAGCAACGGGCTGCCCATGAAAGTCAGACCCCAGGCTGGGTGGATGGCTGAGTCCTGGCCTTCACCTGCACACCTGGGACCCTGCTTCCCAGCAAGGGCAGTTCAGGATCTGGCAAGCTTTAAGCCAAAGGGAAGTGAAATACAGTTGGTGGGAGGAGAAACCCAAGCGGTTTGTACTTCCCCCTGCTTTCAGAGCAGAATCATACCATCATTAAGGCTGGAAAGACCACTAAGACCATCTAATCCAACTGTCAATCCATCCCCACCATGCCCACCATGCCCATTCCAGAAGAAAAGCCCTGCTGGCCGTCGTGCACCAGGAAGGGTGCAGCACAGAGCAGGATTCCCCACGCTGCATCCTTTCCTGCTGAACCCACTGCTCTGGAGAGCTGCTGGTTCTGCTGTAACAGCAGCAATTTCAGCCAGGGAAACTACTGTCAGTTACTAAATGAGCTCAACTGCAGCCTAATAAGTTCTCTCTTTTAACAACCCTGAGATAGAAGGGCTGTTAGAAGTTATCTGAACTCCTGCAATGCAAGAAACTCAAATGTAGGACAGCCAGGGCTGCCACAGTCC